TGAAGCTCCGCGTCTTCGTTTTTGAAGCTTTGAAGCTCTGAAGCTCCGCGTCTTCGGCTGAAGCTCTGAAGCTCCGCGTCTTCGGAGCTTCGCGTCCTCGGTTGAAGCTCTGAAGCTCGGCGTCTTCGTTATTGAAGCTCCGCGCCTTCGGAGCTTCGGGTTTTCGGTGAAGCTCTGAAGGTTCGCGTCTTCGTTTTTGAAGCTCCGCGTCTTCGGAGCCAACCAAAAATATATATGAAAGGTAATGGTATTTTGGAATCTCGGCTGATCCTCTTGAATCCTAGGTCCATCGGCTGTGCAAAGCAACCGTGTAGGTAGTAGAAACAGCTGGCATACCAACCTGAGATTCACGAACGTGAAAGATCTGTAGGGAGCTAGACTGCGAGGTCAAATGGCCACAATACTTGGGGTTTCTCAATCCGAGCAAAATTGATTTATAGTGAAGCAGTATGATTGGGGTGATTATTAAAGACGAATTGCCACTCGAAACGGAGGTCGTGTTCATGATACACCCAGGTCACTTTGGACTCGGCACCACCTTGTCGCGTACATCTCATCGCTAGCTATAGCCTGCTGGCCGTCACTGAAACAAGCGGTCTGGGCTTGTAGACTAAACACCAGCGGCTTGGCCAACCAACGATGATGCCACCAAACTACACAGTATAATTACAACGAAGCTGGATCCTGCGCTAGCAAAATAGAACTCCATAAAAGCACAACTGTGCACATCGTTGAAAACCTCCCCGTTCGGAGACCCTTGAACCCTTCAATTTTTAAAACTGCCCTAGCCAAAACCAATCGAACATCCTCATGCTGCCTTGCAAACTGCCTTGATCAAAATCCTGAAGTGCAGAAACTAGCTTTCAACCTCAAAACACACAGCGGTGGATATACAGACTGAGGTGTATGTACGTAGGGCCCATGGATGGTCCTGCTTTATCTGGCACGAGGCCAGAATAAAGGATCGGACGATGGTTTTGGCTCGGTTGGGAAACCACCCATCCGCAAGCTTGGCTGCATTGGCCATACTGCGCGTGTGGCATCAACAAATACTTTTCCTTTCTTTGGTGCCATATGTTTAGCTTTACATCCATTTGCTGCCATCCTTGACACGTCTATCCTTAGTGATTCCTTTTGGCCCATCGAATATCATCCTGTCGTTCAGCAAGGTTTCAAAAAAAGTAAAGCCCAAGCTTTGCCACACGAGCGGAGACAGTAAAGAGGACTTATTCAGTCGCCCTCAGGGAGAAGAGTCCAGTTGGAGCCAAGTGGTCTGAAGCAAGTGTAGCTGTCCTGAGAACGGTGAAATGCTGCAAGTTGAGCGGCTGAGGCTAAAAATACACGCACCGGCCCCGGTGGGGTTAGAAAGAAACCACCAGGACTTGGACAGAAGTGGTTTCTGGACCCTCAATTTTGTGGATACTGGGCACCTTCGGGGGACCAGAAGCCCCTACCCTCTACCTATAGTCCGCCGACATTACTGCGTAAGAAGAAGATATACCAATCCCTGAGGCTAGCTAGCTTGCTTGTCTCTTGCGGAAGCGATCTTCGGCCAAAAAATGACCGCAGGAAGTTGTTGGTATGTGTGCGTGTGTGTGTGTGTGTGCACGGTGTGTGTTGTGTTGTTCGCTTCGACGCGCTTGTCTCCTCAGGCACTCTGCATCAGTGCTCGATGCATGGCTTGGGCGACCTGCCGGGGAAGTGAAAGCTCTGTCAAGATGGCGCATGCAATTTTATTTCACGAGTCTATCGTGCGCGTACGCGTGCGCAAGATGGCTAGCCTGTTTCGGCTTGGAAAATGGACAGTGCGCCATCTTCTGGGACCTTCGTGTCCTCCATTCGTTTGGAGAGGATCGGTTTCCCAAACGGATGAGGAACGGGTCCAGGCAGGGGTGTGAAATGGAATTGCATTCATAGTTGTTGTAGAGATGGCTCTATGTCCATGATTTTTGGAGGGATGGCCTGTGGGGCAGAGATTGGATTTTGTTGGACCTTGTACTCCCGAATTGAGCATGTCGTCTCAGAAACAAGCCATGAAACAGAGGAAAGGTTTTGTGGAAAAGCAATGTCTAGTCCACGTCTTTTATGTTGTAGTCCACGAAATTAATTGATGTGTCCCTGTCTATGTCTCCACGTTCCGGTCCCGCGCAGGTACATAGGTCGGTGAGACGGCCAAGACAGGCAAAGCAAGAAGCGTTTCTGTACAACGACAAATCATTATACCATCGGTGTTTGTACTGTAAACACCTTAGATTCATAGGTCTGCTCCGCAGTTTAGTAGTGCTTTGAGAACAGGGGAGTGCGACCTGATTGTGGGACCGCGCCTAACGAAGCTACCGCAATCATGCAAATCCCTCCTTTTTCACCTCTGTGTACCTCCACAGGTGTTTGTGAATGCCGTAGCCAGGTTCCAATGGTAGAGGTGCTGAGGCTGTTGGAGGATGATATACGTCTGCAGACACGCACACACACACACACTTTCTTTCTGCAGACATTCCCGTGCTGTTTGGCAACAGGTAGACTCCTCTCCATTTGAGCTTGGAGGTGTTTTGATATATCTAGGGCTCTTCCAGCGCCAAACCTCCATACGATCTTACGCCATGTCCCAGCTTGGCGACAGCTGCTCCAGGGATGTCTAGGAGTCTCTTTGCCGTTGGTCGTATAGGCTTGTGGCCCGTTTTCGTCCCTGGATGTTGAGCAGTATGCTTGGTTCATATTTCGTGGATGAGTAGCATCTGGATACGACATCGTCAAATGAGCTCAGATATTGAGATCGTCTGTATTGCGCGATTGTCTGCGCATGGTTTTGGAAGTGTTCTCTGCATTTCAGTCGCGTACCAAACACCTTGATGAAATGAGGTTTTTGGTAATTGTTCGGAATCAATGTAGAATTTCATCTGATCAAATTAGCAATGTCCCATGCTCGAAATAGAGCTGCGTGGTCGAATGGGCTCAAGGGTTTCCACGGTTGTATTGCGCCATGGTCTGTAGATTTGTTTCGAGATGCTCCTGAGGGTCAACTGAGTCATGATTCTAAATCTCTTGATCAAATGATTTGCTTGTAAGGTGTTCGGAATCACTGAGGTTTTGTCCTGTAAGTATGAGAGGCCCTATATGCTCCAATAAGCCAGCGTTCGAGTGACTGGGTGTTGACGTAGGCCGTAGGATGCCTAACGACCCACATGCGTCATGGTAGAAAGGTTCGGTTTTTTGCACGTTTGCGTTGCGCGATTGGCCAAGTCTCCCCATATAGGGTCAGCTGAATCATGTGCGCAAACTCGTTGAGCTACGGATGAACGAGGAGAGTGGTCGGAATCAATGAGGGGATTCATAAAATCAGCAAGGTCCAATAAGCCAGCGTGCTGGCGAGGGTAAATGGGTCGCATGCGGGATACCGCACGCATGCGACGGATTCCAAGAAGGTCCACGGGATCAGGGTCACTCGAGTCATCCATTGAAATGTTTTCATGCAATGTTAGTTTTTTCGGTGTTGGGCCTTGAAAGTTTCATGTAATCATAAGCCAGCATTCCAGCGACAGGCTACGTAGAACACGCAACCATCTGCTAGTGACTGGTTGTGTCTAGATGCTTTTGGAAGTGCTCCCTGCGGGTCAGCTGCGTAGCACAAAATGATCAACCGTTATGATTGGAAGGCGTTCGGAAACGGAGGAATGTCATGCGATATATATCCCCGATCCCAAGATACCTCACACATGGGACACGGTCGTCTCGTGATTGTTTCTAGCACAGCTGCATCATGTATCAAACTGTCCGGATCCCATGATATCATTTGGAGGAGTTTCACGTAATCAAAAAGGTGCCATACTCGAACGAGGTCAGGTTGCATGAGCTGATTCATCTAGCAAAACTGCTGAAACAAAGGACGTGAAAGGAAGGTGTTGGGAATCAGTGGTGACTTTCAGTTTCAATATTGTCAAAAGCCAGCATTTGAGTGCATCGGTGGCACGCAGGATATGTAACGATCTGCGCGCCATGGGTTTTGTGAGCTCAGGCGTTGACCTGTTTAATGGTGCGCTTGCCTGTAGATGCTTCCCGAGGGTCATCTATGAATCATATCATTATAGCCAAACTCCTTGTGAAAGGCATGTGTTCGGAGCATGTGTTCGGAATCAATCAAAACTTTTATGTAAGCGCAGAGGTTCCAGGCCATTTTCGAATGAATACTCGAAAAAGCCAGCATTCCAGTGAAGCAAGCTGAGATTATGGGAAAATATGAACGATAAACCTATATGAGTGCACATGGATACGCAGAGGGAGGATGGATGTGCAGAGCATGAAGGCAGTCTGCATTTTGTGCACCCGAAAAAGCACGAGTGACACCGTTCTCCGACCTGTTTGCGACAGGGCAAGCGTACAAAGTTCAAGCAAGTACAAACAAGTAGTAAATAGCAACAGCATCTCCTAGCAACAGAATCTCCTCCTGCTCGGTATCGTAGAAGCCGGGATCCCTTCTCAGCGCGTCTGCATCTGCA